CTGAAAGTTCTATTATCTTGTGTGTTTGGTCAACCGTGTTCTATTTAAATGACTCAAATTTCAGCTGAAGAAGCGAGATGAATACGTACCGGGCAGCCTAGTTTAGTCCTACTGAATAAGACCAAACTTATATATTTGTAATACCTTGTTTTCTTTGTTCACGAAGTCGTGGTAGTCATGTCAAGATTTGAATACAGTCGGGGGCTGAACGGTCTTGAAAGGAGGCTCAATAGCCTTCCGGCCCTGCTAAATTGGCAGGAAGAAATTCAGCTGAATTATGAAAAGGGCGGTATTGAAAGCCTCTGAGGACTAATGATGTTACCCAGCCGGACCTGCATATTGAATGAGAATCGCTTTGTTCGGCGCGGGGTTAATTTGGGCCAGAGTGCATTTCCTACCCACTGGGGTTCTTTTCCCCATGGGATCTTTTCTAATCAAACATGCACGGCGTCCCTAGCCTATCGATATTTGCTTTTAGCCTTCCATTTGAAATATTCATTGACCCCGGGAGCGAGCGGTAATTAACTCGCTTTGTAAATCATGAGTGTCGAATCTTGTCCTTTTAAAATATAAATAATTAAATCATGATTCCACAACAGTTTTTGTTCACGACGAGTAGCCCTGTCCCGCTTAAAACTTTGATAATTCTTAAAGGCGCAGTAAAGAAAACATAGCCGTTAAGGTTCATAGACAGTGAAATTTTTATATTGCAGAAAGTGTCGAAAGGGGGAAAAAGATTTATACCGTCCTACTCGTTAACAACTGTTGCTCCGAGTCTTGTTCGAATCGTAATTCCTCCAGCCTCTAATTTTACTGCTCGGCTCTCTCTTACTTACTTACTGTTGGAACAACTCTAAAACAGTTTACACCGAGAGTTTTGAACTTTTGTTGTAAGACTACGTGCTTCCCACCTCGGCTAGGGGCCTTTGAGTTTGCGCCCGCCCGTATTTTTATAAATCCTAAGAAGGGAGGCGGCGCGGCTTCCATGGGACGCCTTATTTCACGTGACTTGGGATATTTACTTTTGTAACAAGTTCCACGGGACCGTCCTAAAGTTTGCCGCAAGATAAATGGTCTCTGCGAAAAGACGCTTCACGGCCTGAAACAATAATTAAACTTTCTATGTAAATAAACAGCTGACATTTTATGATTCGTCTAAATTAACGCAATCCGTGTACGGATGAGAACGTCCTTCGTCCTTCTAGTGGTTTTTGTCCCCTTCCTCGAATGCTGTGGTTGGCGATCTGATTATTTCCCTGTCATGTGGGTTAACCCCTTGCCAATTAGGTTGACCATCGAAACGTTTGGACCGTGATCGATCAGCCCGGCAGGCCGCCCTTCTCACAACATGTCAAAACTTTCTTCGGACGTATCGATTGATCCTGGAAACAAATTAAACTCGAGTGGAAGCAGATCGTAGGATCACTGGAAAGCCTATTAATCTATGAAAGACAACGATTCGAACAGGTCCTTATTTGGGTATTAAGTTTAAAGTATACTACATATTACTAATAAAATATTGTATATTAAAAATAAAAAAACTTTCTTTAACATAAAAATTAGAAATCACATTCCTTTCTGTGTCTGTGGGCAAATAAAGTAATTAGTTATAAGTTAATTATTTTCTAATAATTCTAATCACCCTATTCATCAGTTGTTATTTATAATTTAGGCCGTATAGCTTGATTTTAATCGATATTGTCATATTGTTTGTTGATTTCGTTCTTCCCCCTTAAATTTTCACATAAAGTACTGGTTTGTAAGTACATTGTGATCATTTGTAAGAATTTCGTCAGCTGACATTGCATCTACTGTTGTGAAAATGTCGAAATGACCGAAACAGAAAGAATAAACAGCCCAGAATGACAGAAACAGAGTCTAGTTTTATGTGTCTTTCCATATGCCTTTACATATATTTTCCAGGAAGAGCATTTAAGAAAACCGTTCAAACGAACAGTTAACCAAGCTCGTGAGGTAAAAGATATATGTAGCTTTATTCCTAGACGTACCCGCAAGCCATCGACATGGTTTGGCACGAAGGTTTAATTCATAAGCTAAAAAACCAATTTCCAAGTTGAACTTTTGACTTCATCCTTTCGGAAAAACTGTTCCAAGAGAAACTGATGAATGCACGGATTTGCCTGAAATCAAGGCAGGCATACCGCAATGTGGAATCCTAGACCCCTCCCACTTGCTGGGTACAATCCACCTCAGAAGAAAAACATAACCTTCGCAATGTTTGTCTGTGACAGGCTGCCCTCTCAATCGAAAAATGAGCCATGCATCCAACGAATGCACATGGCCTGGACAGATACTTGGACGTTCAAAATAAACGACCAGAAATCCGGAAATGTATTCACAAGAAAATAGAAAATTCGTAGACAAATCGTCATGATTTCAAATACCGACAACTTGATTGGTTCCTGGGAAGGAATTCCCGGTTATCAATCCAAAATTAAAATTTATTTTCAAGCCAATACTAATTTATAACTGTCCTGATAAAGCTCAGCAGTTTTCGTTTATTTACGGCGGCGCTGTTGTTGGAAATTTTTCATTTGGTGTAATGTTTACTTGGCTTGTAGATACATAACCAACATTAAAAATAAATTCTGCATAAGTCGCTTGCCAACGAGTAGTTTTGACCATTTTTTAATCTGAAAAATGAACAGTAAGTTTATTTTTTCGAATATATGTTACTAATTTTGGTAATCGTATTTGTCTATTAAAGCTATTAATAAATGAAATTAAAGATGGTACAGTAAAAGCTAACATATTAAGATTATTGGTAGGAATTTGGTATGATTCATGTATGGTTCACGACTCAGAGAATGTGTCAAAAGAAGTATACAATCATAATATAACAGTTCCAAAATAAAGTTCTACGAAATATAATAGACAGGGGGCCCCGGTAGCCGAGTGGTAGCGTGAGAGACTTTCGGCTCGTAGATCCCGCGGTCGTGGGTTCAATTCCCGCCGTCGCCTCTGGCCTTTTTTTCACGTTACCCTTCCCCCCAAATGAACATGCATAATAACATTGTCATTGGCTAATATGCTAGAACATAAAGCCATTAGGAAAAAAAATAAGTTAGACACTCCTTAAGCCAGAAACACACTTACCCGATGCTACCCGACGCAAATCCAAACTCCGATTTTCCATAAGGTTGCATTACCCCCGTGCACATCTACCCGATGCTACCCGACGCAAATCCAAACTCCGATTTTCCATAGGGTTGCATTACCCCAGTGCACATCTACCCGATGCTATGCCATGCTAACCTACCCGACGCTCTGCGATCCCCACTATCCAGATTTTCGTTGGGTAGCATCGAGTACAGTTGAAGACAAACCGGGCACTCATATTTTTACTACATGTATTATTGTTGTTATATTAATTACAACATACTTATTTTAATACAAAAATGCGATTAAAACTAATTAGTTTTTATTTAAATAATTAATTTTAATGGTTTGGTAGAAAATTAATCAAAACCATTCAACCGGAATACGATTTTTTGATGTAATGAATTTAACTAACAATTTATTGTACTCGCTTCGGCGGTACATATACTAAAATTGGAACAATTTATTACACGGTTGTGGTCATAAAATGTAATTAACAATTTATTTCATAGTTTTGCTCAAAACTATGAAATAAATTGTTAATTGAATTTTATGGCAATGTCGGGTAGCATCAGAACAGGACACTCATATTTTTTGTAGTTTATTTCAAACTAAGTACATGTAATTTTGTCGTTATATTAATTACAACATGTTATTTTAATGTAAACCAAATTAAACGAGATCAAAAATGCATAAGTTTTTATAAACATTGTTTAATTATGATGGTTAGGAGTAACATTATTTAAAACAATTAAGGTTAACAAACAATTTATTAGATGGTCGTGCTCATAAAATTTAACTAACAATTTATTACAAAGTTTTGCTCAAAATAGTGTATTAAGAATAAAAGATGCGTTGCGATTGTGATAGTGATTATTGTGGTCTGTACGCGACGTGTGCTTAATATAAAGTTTATAGATGTGCACACCCCACCAAAACGTGGCAAAGCATCGGGTAGCGTCGCATGGCGTAGCATTGGGTAAGTGTATTCCCGGCTTTATTCTCGCAATAGCGACATACCAAGAGATGTGAACATTGACAATGAGATAACAAGGTGCTTATAAGCATAATCTAAGTCTGCAAATTGTACATGGAGGTTATCTGGTTCATAGTACAATCGTAAAGCAAGGGACGAGGAAAAAGCTGTTTGAATTAATTCTGTAAAAAGTTACTCAACTAGATAAATTGTGTAGTAACGAGGAGACAAAAGTAATATTAAAAATTTATTCGTGCTTAGTCCTTAATTTCAAACGAAATTTTTCACCTTTTGACAAGTAGGAAGGCGAAGGGACATCGGGTATCCCGATGGAAACTTTCAACCAAAATATATTACAAATATTCCCACATAATTAATTAAATTTTATAATCCAACTAATTATTTTTCCGATAGGTTTGAAAGATGTCGCCGAATGATTTGATTTATCGTAATGTCTATAAAGTCAGTCGTACAACTCCACATTTTACTTTAGAATGAAATTTTTGTTTGGAAGTGTTGGTTCAATAAATTCCATAATAACATATTCCAACATGAAAGGAAAAGTAAAATTAAAAATTATTTATCCAAACACGTATAATTTAGTTATTGGGCAGATCGATGCCAGATTAGTCGTTTGTAGTATTACCTTTCACTTATGAAAATAAAGTTATATAACTTCGGGCTGGTAGTTTTTTGTTGCATTTTAACAATACTTAGAGTTTCTTTCTTTCAAAACATTGAAGCTTTCCTTTTTTTTCTCAAGAATACTAACAAGCAAAGAATAAATTTGAATAAATAAATCTAAAGACTTTATCCGACCATTTATTATTATAATTGCAACATCTTACAAATCTCTACATGTTTTTATCAACAAGTAATTAAAATATAATTAAACAATCCTTACCATCTTCGGCGAAGATGAAAGGTGGAACAAGCGCCGCCGTCATCATGAGCAGGTGATGCCAGCTGACGCCCATGTTGGGCCCTTTCCACCTTGACATTTATTACCTAAAAATACCCCTGAAAAATAATTAAAAATAATTAGTTCAGAATATCAAAAAGCTCGCGACAAATATACAATTTGTGTACATGATAAGACCTTGGTAGTAAGTGTGTAATAAATCTTATTTTTAACGTCAAACCAGTTACATAATAAAACAAATAATTTATATACATATGTTTGTATCCATAATCTGTTTTAGGAGCTAATTGCGACTTTGACTTTGATATATGGCAGTGCCGCGTTTTTGAAATATAATAACTGTTATTTAATAGATGTGATTAGCAGTTATGCAGATGGTTCGTATCTTTTTCCGTATCGGGAAATGTTATCTAGGAAGGACGATGAAGAGGCCCGATAGGAATGCTGGTTCGACCCGAGTCGGCTCCCAGCTATATTTGGGGCCATCCTCGTTCCGTTTGTTCCTCGTCGATTCCTGTTCCTCGGATTCCTTCGTCCGGGGAAGCGGCAATTAACCCAATTAAAGCTGCTTAATGAAAGGAATCCAGGTGGTATTCCAGAATTTCTGATATGCCGGGATTGTTAGGTCGATCCGGGAGGTATAAATAACTCAAAATTCGATGTTTAGCCGTATTTGAATTTTACAATTAGAAAATGACTTCTTACTTTAGATAACAACCACAATATTATATACATTAGTCTTAAACCCAAATATATTTATCAAAGAAATTTGTTAAAATTTAATATTTTTATTACAAATTGTGACATTATTTACAAGATGTAATGAGTTAAATTTACAAATGACATGGATCGTGTGGCGTCAGGAGAGATAACGACAGTTGTCGTTCTCCCAGCTATATATAGGTTAATCCTCGTTCAGTAGGTCGCGAGGTCATCTCTTCTTCAGTCGTTTGGTGGGATTATAAGGGTGGATAAGGATTTCTTTTGGATACGGATTGGGAAAATGATAAATGGAATGTGTTTGCACGAAACGGTTTATGAAGTCGTTGTGAAATGGGTTGGTGGAGACGTAGTACGTAGTATTGACTATGATTCTGAGGACTTTGCTTTGGAAGGACTGTATTCTTAGCAAGTTGGAAGGTTTGGTAGTGCCCAACAGTTCTAGTCTGTTACGTTTGATTTGCGTGACAGTAGTTTATAGAATAGTTCGAAACGTTGGTTTAGTGCCTGTCGGTTTAGTCGTGTTTGTTCTAGGTTAGTATTGAGTCTAGATGGAATTCAAAGTAGCGGACACTGTTTTTGGAATAGAATATTATTGAGGAATATTGTATAAGGGGTTTTTCTTCGAAAGGGGTGAATGATACGTGGCTGCTTTTGCTTACATTAGGCTTCATACGCCAGCGTCCGCTCTATTCGGTTATTTTCAGGACATGTGCTTGAAGCCACTCCAACTCAGTTATGGTATCGGGGTGAGAAGATAGAACAGCTGTGTCGTCGACAAAGGATGCATGGACGGTGGAGGGTAAAGTTAGGACTTTGGCGTAAAGGACGGCCCAACTATACTTCGCTGAGGTACTTCCCAACTGCGGACAAGGTACGCACCTCGGACTGTACATCGATGACGTGAAATCCTCGCGCACGACTGACACTTCAGGAGGTTATGACACGATATAGAGCTCTTGCACGACTTCTTGACAAACGTTCTGATTTACCTCTCAAAAATAAAATGCTGTTTTACAACACCATAGTTAAGCCGGTATGGACTTGGATTGGAAATATGGGGTTCAGCCAGACAATTTAATATCCGCCGCATTCAAACTGCCCAGTCCTTAATCCTAGGAAAAATACTAGTTGCTCCATTTTATGTATTGAACCTAACTACACATACAGACTTACATATCCCTTTCGTTCAAGATAAAATCCGTTTCCGTTACCGCAAATTTCACAAAACCTTAAATCAGTACATCAGAAACCTCGCATCGCGACGAATCCCCTCGAACCTTCCTCGCCGAGAGAAGTGACAATGGCCGCGAGATCTCCTAGTAAGTAAGTGATGGTGATGATAGTAAGAGAGATAATGGCACGAGTATTAATTAAGTAGAAAATATTTAAGTAACATTGGAGTAATGCCATTGAGTATTTTCTCCACTCTTGTTTTTAATTTTGTATGCCTTGCTCATGGTTACATGTTTCCTTCTTGAAGGTATTTGTAAGGTACTATAAATTTAAAAAAAAATCGGTTAATGAGGTGAAGTAATTTCGTAAAACCTGCTGTTATTATGTTATTTACTTTTAATAATATTATGTTATTAAGTAAGAAGGATATATCTTTTCCATTTAGAAATGGTGTATATATGTATATGTATATATATTTTTCTTTTCTTTTGTAGGAAGAGGAACTTACTCCCGTGCTTCACTTTCGTAACCAATTCAATTATCGGAACAATAAATCACGTGTAATATAGAAAAGAAAATTTGTATTGACGTTGTCTCGCCGTGGCTGACGTTTACCGATGTGATTTATCTTCCCGGTGTAAATAGTGGAAGAAGGGTCCCACCAACTTTTCAACAGGTGCGGCCCTCGTTTTAGGATTAATAGTTGAGAGCGGGGAAAGTCTCCCTCATTTGGGACGTCATAACGTCATTTGTCTCCTTTTAAAGGTACGTCCGCCTGTCAAAAACCCGATACCAAAACTGAGCCTGACAGTCGATTCGGCGGTATTAACCCCGCTCTGATCCACTTCCACCACTTTTTGACCTATCATCGCAAAAATGACGTTCGCACCTGTCGATATCGATGACTTCCGGGGAGGGAATTTCGAATTTATCTTCCTTAAGTAATCCGTTGTAATTTTAATTTTCAGATATTTACACTACTTAAACATATTTGATAACGTCGTACACCTATAATTAGGAATGTACAAGATAAAATTCAGCAATCAAGCAATACAAGTAACATAATTGAACTGTACGATATATTTTATTAGGTTTCGTGGTCCGCTTGATCAAATAAATTATTTTCAATTAATTAAGGTTCTAGTTGAGATAAAAAAGTCAGTGTCACAAGCGGGATTCGAACCCACGACCTTCGGCTAAATACGCCGCTGCTCTATATAATACTTAGACAGTCTGTTAACATATTTTGTCTACATCTATGTTCGCAACATATCCAATGATTTTAATATTACAATAATTTCAGCCGAAAAGATGGATTTTTTGGGGGGGAGAGTGTATTGTCGTCTTTCATTATTACTTGAGACAAAAAATGCCAACCCATTTACAAGAGAACTGTCTATGAAGATTCGCCATATTGTTCAGATCATATTAGTCACAATTCATTTTTTTTTTTGGATAAAAATTATATTGGAAGAGACGAATCGGATGATCGACATGTATCGAGAGTGCATTGTCGTCTTTAATTATTATTTGGGTCAAAAACTGCACAACCAGGTTGGTCATTTACAAGAGAACTGTCTGTGAAGATTAGCCATATTAAATCCATTATATTTCGTTGTCTAATTGACCAAATAACATCTTTCAAATAATTAATCTTTATGTAAGGTATTGGTTGAAATGAAAAATGGCGAAAAGTAGGGAAAATTCGAAAGGTGGGTTGAGATGGAAAGTTGGTGCTCGAGTGGATCAAAGTCACGTTAGGTTAGGTAGAGCAGCGGCGTATTTAGCCGTAGGTCGTGGGTTCGAATCCCGCTCGTGACACTGACTTTTTTATCTCAACTAAAAACCTTAACTAATTGAAAGATATTAATTGGTCAAGCGGACCACGAAAACAAGTTAATTTAATAAGTTAAAATGAAGTATACTTCACTAAAGCTCTCCGAGGCCATTTCGTTTGTCGCCGAGAATCAAAGATTACACGACATTTGAAAAATGGCAAAAAGGAGGGAAAATTCGAAAGGTTGTAGGCTGTGATAGGGAGTTGGTGTCCGAGTGGATCGAAGTCACGATAGGTCAAGTGGTAGAGCGGCGGCGTATTTAGCCGAAGGTCGTGGGTTCGAATCCCGCTCGTGACACTGACTTTTTTTATCTCAACTAAAAACCTTAACTAATTGAAAGATATTAATTGGTCAAGCGGACCACGAAAACGAGTGAATTTAATAAGTTAAAATGAAGTATACTTCACTAAAGCTCTACGTGACCATTTCATTTGTCGCCGAGAATCAAAGATTACACGACATTTGAAAAATGGCAAAAAGGAGAAAAAATTCGAAAGGTTGTAGGTTGAGATAGGGAGTTGGTGTCCGAGTGGATCGAGGTCACGATAGCTCAAGTGGTCGACTAGCGGCGTATTTAGCCGAAGGTCGTGAGATCGAATCCCGCTCCTGACATTGACTTTTTTATCTCAACCAATACCTTACATAAAGATTAATTAATTGAAAGATGCCATTTGGTCAATCGGACCTCGAAATCTAATGGATTGTATGATATATTTTTTTTAGAAATTTAATTTTTAAAATTATATGGCCATTTGATTTGCATTATCCACTGCTGATAAACCAGCCGTATTTTTATTAATGTAAGTTCCACCAAAAAAAATAATGTCGTATTTCGTTTACTCTAATTCAAGACGGTTAAACTGTCAACAATTCGGCAAGTAAAATTTATTTTCTCTGCGTTATGCCTCATTTGTGAAAACGGCATTGTCCTGATATTCGGCAAGTGAGCCGAGAATAAGTTGCATTTATTAAAAGTGACAGGAACAGTGGATTCTAAGTGGCAAGATTTCGGCATAGATCTTTCACAAAGACAAGTGGATTTAATCACTTCTCAAGCTCACTACGATTGACTTTAGCAAACAATTTGCTACAAAAGAGGCACCTTTTATTAAGTTTAGGGTTTATGGGTGATCTGTGGGTTCCAAGTAAAATATTTACAGTCTCTAATAAGCACTGAGTGTGTTGTTTCTTCGAGTTGAATATGATGTATAAGTAAATTCAAAATTTTCCGTTATTTTCTTTCGTTCTTAAAGATGAAACGCCTCTGACAGACCAACGTGATCAGAAACTACCGAGCTACAGTTCCATGTCAAAGGAGGAAATCTTTAAAGTTCTGCAAGTATTTGAAAGGTGAAACTGTGCTA